GCAAACGCTACATTCCACAGCCTTTAGACTGCAAACTCTACACTTCACACTGCAAACTCCACACCTCACATTGGGCACGGTTCCAAACAAGTATGGGAAAGTAGGCCAAGGTTAAAAGGAACATGCCAAGGTTAAGAAAGAGTAGGTCAAGGTCCAAAAAAAGTGATCCAAGGTCAAAAAAAAAGTGATCCAAGGTCGAAAAAAAGAGGTAAGGTTAAAAGAAAGTGATCCAAGGTCAAAAAAAAGACTTGCCCTTTAAGGTGGCAACGCTGATGAGCCTGGACCTGAACAATTAGGTGATGAACGAGATCAGGTCAAGAACACCCTCATCAAGGAGACTGCAGCTGTGGCTTTTCACAAAGCCAATGCCGACCTTGCCATGAGGTCTGCAATCCTTGCTCGTTCCAGAGTGGAGCAGGATGAGCTGTATGTGGGCGATTGGTGTTTCTACTGGAAACCAGCCACCACGAAGCTTGACCCCTTTCGGTGGCGTGGCCCATGCCTGGTTGTGGCGGTGGAGGTGATGCCCGAGCGCACCAGCACCATCTACTGGATCGTCCATGGATCATCACTGGTCCGATGCACTCGAGCTCAACTACGACATGAGACGGTCCCTGAGCGCTTTGAACGACAAAGCCAACCACCACACCTCGAGCAACTACGACAACCTCTTGCAGGCCGACTTCTTCGAGCCCTCAAACCTGTACGTGGCCCAGTCCGTGCTGTGGACATCGCTGAGACCAAGCAAGATCCTTTCCAGTATCCTGGGGGGTATGCCCTCGCTGACGCTGCGGGTGAACACCACTTCGACGACAAGACCCCCACTGACCTCAAGGATGACACACAGAATGCGGACGAGCCGATGGAGGACCAGACCCCAAACAGCCAGTCACCTGAGATGGCCAAAAGCCCAGACACTGCCTCAAATGATGCAGGCCGTCCACCGTGGCGACTGCATCCCATGCCAGAGTACGTGGATCCGGAGCCAGCTGGAATTTGGACTGACCCCGGACCACCCTCTGCGGTGGCTGCTTCTACCTCTACTTCAACAGCTGCAGCCCCGAACAATGAGAACAATGATGATCAGGCAGCTGAAGGGGATGAACAAAGCCCTGAAGAACGCCGTGAACCCAACATCGTTGAGAACCAAGATGAGATGCAACCACAAGGACCTGGCACACAAGCTCAGGCATTGAAGACCTACCACGAGGCTCTTCGAATGGCAAGTGCTGTCTCTGAGGAGCGCAACCGCATCTTGGATGGACTTCCTCCTCGACGACAAGATCGACAAGATGATGGTCAGCCAGCCCCAAAACAACCCAGGCTGGAAGAGGTTCACATGGTTCAGATGACCACTGAGGACGAGCTCTTTGCGGTGGTCGAGTCCCGACTTGATGCTGCCGGAAAACAAGCCTTCAAGGAGGCCAAAATCAAGTCTCTGGTGCCCTGGTGCGAAAATGATGCTTGGAGACCGGTCAACCGGACCGAAGCACCAGCTGGGACGATTGTGCCCATGAGATTCCTGCTGCGGTACAAAGATGAAGCACCGCATGCACGGATGATCCTTCAAGGATTCAAACACCGTGATGTCCTTGAAGCAAAATTGGACACAGAATCCCCGACCTTGTCACGACTTGGCTGCATCCTACGATGGAAGATTGGGACAATGGATGTCAAATCGGCATTCCTGCAGGCGGACTACATCCACCACAAGGTCGACCTGTATGGGGAGCCCTCGGCAGACATGAGACGCTTGCTGAAGGAGATGATTGGACTCCTTGAACACCAAGTCATGCAGATGACCAAGCCGGCGTTCGGAGATGTCAGAGCCCCCAAGCAGTGGAATGAGACGGCCGATCGAGCCATCACCAAGGAGGTTGGTTTCCTCAAGCATGCCTTGGATGGCTGCCTCTACCTGTCCACGCGCTTGGCCAACAAGGAGGACGATCCCTTCCGCGTGTTCAAGCTCAACGGCATGGACTATGTGGTCGATGGCATCCTTGGACTTCATGTGGATGACATCATCGCTGCGGGCGAGTTCTTTCACAAGGCTGAGGACGCTGTGGAACCTCAAGGTGATCCTCAGAACTTTGCAGAGCGAATGCATGTGCTCTTGCACCGGTTCCGATTTGGCGCCGTCAACTACGACGACAACCAGACCTTCTGTGGAGCTCAGATGTCTCAGAGCCTTGACTACTCCCAGGTGAACTTCAGCTTGGAGAAGTACATCAAGCAGCTCAAGCCGCTGACAATTGAGAAGAACCGGAAGGCCAACCCTGAAGAAAAGGCCACTGATCGGGAGGTCAGCCAACTCCGTGGACTTTTGGGAGGAATGGCATGGCCAGCAAACCAGACACAGCCTCATTTGAGTGCTGCGATCAGTTTGGCCCAGGCTACAGTCTCAGGTGCCAAGGTGGCCGACCTCAACGAGGCCAACAAGATCCTGCGCTTCGCCAAGGAGACCGCGGACATCCCTCTGACGATCAGAGCTCATGGCGCACTCAGCCAGCTGCGTTTTGGATTTTTCTCCGATGCTTCTTGGAGTACGCGGCCTGATGGATCGTCGCAGGGCGGGTGGCTTCTGTTTCTGGCCTCTGAGGACCAGATCAATGGCGATCGACCCTTCCCTTTGACGGTGGTCGACTGGGCAAGCAGAAAGCTGCCGAGGATCTGCCGATCTTCTCTGAGTGCAGAGGCACAGATCATGACCACAGCGGTCGACAACCTGGAATGGGCCAAGACCATGTTTGGGCTCATTCTATGGCCTTCTGAAGGCGCTGACAGTGAGCACGTGATGAAGTGGCTTGGAATTTCGCCCTGCATCACAGACGCTCGAGCGCTGTTTGATGCAAGCACTTCAGCGACCCCTGGCATGAAGTTGGCCGAGAAGAGGACAGCAATCGAGATCAAGATCACGGCCGAGCGACTTCAAGCCGCATGTGGCATGATGCGATGGTGCAACTCGCATCAGCAGTTGGCAGACGGAGTCACCAAGTCTGCAGCCAAGACCAAGCTGGCCATGGAGCTTCGTCGAGGAGTTCATTGCCTGCGCTACGACCCTGAGTATGTGGCCAGCAAGAAGGTGAAACAAGAAGACAAGGACAAGGAGCAGGAGTTCCTGGACAACGCGGCCAAGGAGATCTACAAGAAACATCAAATCCAGGAGAACGTCTTCCACACTGAAGACATGGACGAGATCGACAAGGAGGAGGCAAACATTTGCCTGCTGGATGGGTGCTCACTCCCAGCTGAGCACGGCAAGCGCTACTGCACAAAGCGGCACTACCACGCGGCCCAGCACAAGCGCAACAACCCCAAACGAGCTGAGACAGCTCTGGCTACATGGATGGTTTTGACGGCTGCTGCTGCAGTTCCTGGTGCTGATGCCCTGCGATTCACTGAGGAGGGTGTCGTGATCCCCTACATCCAGATCATTGCCATCGTTGTCTTGATCCTGGTGGCGATGATCGCATCCTTCCTGGCCGGCATCAACTACGTCCGACATCGAGAACATCAAGGTGATCCTGGACTTCCCCGTGAACTACAAGAACATCTCATCCCGGATGAGGAGAACAACCTTCCACCCTATGAGTGGGACAGCTCCTTCATGGAGAGTTCAGTGACCTCCGTGCTGAACCGAAGTGGAGAAGAACCATCATTCTCAACGGATGGATTGGGTCAACCAGAAACTCATGAAGGAGACATCATCTCCCCGACCAACACACCGAGATTGCCAAATGGCGAGCGAGTGGAGAGCAGCAATGGAGGAGTGGTGTCATGGCTGACACCTGGACAGGTGGTCTACCTCAAGGGGGAGGGCTACTACGTCTACTCCGATGCGGAGGTGAACCAGCGAAGAACGGCATTGGAAGAATCGATGCCACCATCAGTAGATGAAGTGATGACACCAGAGCTCATCACGGCTTTGATGCAAGGAACTTTGGCCCCTGAACAACACATGCAGGTGCCACTGGACGCAAGCGACTGGAATGGCGTGCATCCAGATGAGCGCGCTGAGAGATCCCGAATTTTGGAAAACAGCCTGATCTTAGGCATCGAGATGGAAGAGATGGACAACCAGAGAGATGCAGAAGCTCGAGGACTGAGAGCCCGGCTTAGAACAGTTCGTGAGGTGGAAGCCTCTCTAAGAGAGAGAAACGCTGCTGAAGCCTCTAGGACATAGCGTTTTGATTTTCCAGCTGCAGCCTTTTAAAACCTTTTTCCCCCTGTGTCAATGTAAGTCTGACGACCATTGCATGTCCAGCTGTTTCAGGGGACAGGTTGCTGTGGCTGCCGATATGTTTCGGCACAATGCCCCTTTGTAAGGGCCCTTGAGCCGTAGCGAAGCTATGCCTGCAGTGTGACCGCGACTACAACGTGGAGAAGGAGAAAAAGATCAGGGAGGACTTCGTGCGCTGCACCCTGGTGATTGTGAGGGGTTACTATGGGGTTACTATTTCTATTGGATTTCTAGAAATAATTTCTATGGGGTTACTATTGGATTTCTATGGGATTCCCATAGCATTCCTATGGAACTTCCATGATGTTTCTATGATATTTCTATGAGATTACCATGTGATTTCTGAAAGATGCTATGGGAATTCTATGATATTCTTATGGGACTTCCATTGGATTTCTATGGGTTTCTATGGTATTTCTATGGTGTTTCTATGGGATTTCTTTGGGATCCCTATGGGATTCCTATGGCATTCCTATGGGAGTCCCATGATGTTTCTATGATATTTCTATGGGATTTCTTTGGAATTCCTGAAGGAATTCTATGAGATTCTTGTGGGATTTCTTTGTGGTTCCTATGCTATTTCATGCTATTTCCATGTAATTTCTATGATCTTTCTATGGGATTGCTGTGGGATTCCTATGGCATTTCCATGATATTTCTATGATATTTCTATGGGATTACTATGGCACTATGGGATGTCAATTGAAAGTAAGTTGAAATCAACTGAAAATAAATTCGAACTAAATTGAACTCAATTGAAAATCAATTGAAAGTAAATTGAAATCAATTTAAAATCATTGAAAGTAAATGAAAACCAATTGAAAGTAAATTGATAGCAATTGAAAATCAATTGAACGTAAATTGAAAATATAAGTGAATCTATTGAACGTAAATTGAAATCAATTGAAAACAAATTGAAAGTAAATTGATAGCAATTGAAAATCAGTTGAACGTAAATTGAAAATAAAAGTAAATCTATTGAACGTAAATTGAAATCAATTGAAAACAAATTGAAAGTAAATTGAAATCAATTGAAAATAAGTTGAAATCAATTGAAAATCAATTGAACGTAAATTGAAATAAATCAATTGAAAGTAAATTAAATTGAAATCAAATGGAAGTAAATTGAAATCAATTGAAAGTAAATTGAAATCAATTGAAAATGAATTGAAATCAGTTGAAAGTATATAAATTGAAACCAATTGAAAATCAATTGAAAATTAATTGAAATCATTTGATTTTAATCCCGAACTTGAACAAAATCACTTTAAAGCAGATCCAAAAATTGTTTAGGGAGGGGGGGGGGGCCACACTAATCAGGATCCAACATTTTTCAGTTGCATGCAATGATATGTATATATATATACGTATATATATATATATTGTATATATATATATATATTACATACATAACATAACATAACATAATATAATATGATATAATATAATATAATATGATATAATATAATATAATATAATAAAATATAATACTATATAATATAATATAATATATAATATATATATATAATATAATATAATATAATATATATATATATTATATTTATCTTACATGCATGACGTCCTATACATAACACATCTACGTCCTTTGCGCCCTGTCCCTCTGCCTCCTAGCTTCCAGGTTCATAGAGCCAGAGGCTGAAAACCGCTATTGCATCCGCCACAGGACAGCGACGGTGAGCTCCGCCCAAAAAGGGATACCATGTGGAAATATAATATTCATATTATGTCATATTGGTCTCAGGAAATATGATATACATGTGGTTAGTTGGATGTTCAGTTGGATATTCAAGTCTATAAATGTACGGAAAAGGATACAATCAAGGAACAAAGAGGATGAAATGGTGCTATCGAGCAGTAAGGGGCAGATGGAGGTGGAGTTCATTTCTGGTACGTGCAGTCCTGCGCCGTCTTGCGGAGTTGGTGGCCTAGCCCTTCACCCCCTCGGCACGGCTGGTAGAACTCCTTGGGTCTATGCTCGGCGGATCGGCGGCGGGTTGGGACAGATGGTGATCACCCCTCAGGGCGATCTTGAAGGGAATGCCTCGTGTCCAGCCGCGGTCGTCGCAATTTACCCAGTGAGATGTTTGTGGTTTCCTTGCTGTGTTTTTGCAGGCATTTGCCTTGCCAATTTATTTCCAACCCGTCAGCCCAGTGCTGCCGACCCAATAGAGCTGGGAACCAGCAAGGTCACGGCCAATGGAGATCATCTTTTCAGGCGGTGAGATTTTTTTCACCTCTCCGAGGGCGGTTTTTTCCTCACTGCTTGATCCATCTATATTCCAAGAGAATCAGTTTCCATCATGAATTGTGTACTAGGAGTTCATTTCAGTACCTGCATTGTAGCGAATGTATGCGAATGTTGGCTACTGACCCGCAGATTCATTCTCACTATTTGTGTAAGTACTGATTCTATCCATTTGGATACAGATTATCTAGTACAGGTAGTACTATGACATAACCAAAGTATTTACAGTAATGACATTGTAGACCTTTTTTGAGTACTCATCATCCATTCTTTTTCTCTATTGTGTGTGACTCAAAGTCAATCGTTTCGTTGGCTATGCGAGAGGTACCTCAATTACTGAGTCTCTAAGTGTTGCCTTGTTATGCGGGGTAAGCGGTAGGATTTATGGGCCTATCTGAAAATGGGGTACCCTATTCCATCCACTGGCAAATCTCGTTCTTATTGAAATTGCCATGTCGGGATCCATTCCCATTTTTCAGGCACGCCCAGATATCATATAGTTGGCTGATTATTTATATATCCCAGTTTTTTTTCTCTGACTCTTCCCACTTCTGCCTTTCCATTTGTCCATATTGTCGGAAGTTTGACTTCTAAAGTTCCTTTGATTCCATTATAGTCCTTGATTTTGGTATTATCCTATGAATCCCCATTAAATATTTCACTAGACCATTATTAATGAATATGCCATGAATAATGGTCTAATGGAATATCCCGTCTTTAATGAACAATTCATTGAATATCCCATGATTTTTGATTGGAACGTGCTTCAAGTCCACAGGTCTTTGTGCGCAGCGCCATTCAGGACGGGCTACCCGCTGCTGACCTTGTCGGGTTCCTTTAGCGGTCCAGGAGTCCGTGTGAGCCCGCGCGTTGGCGTCACAGTGTCATGAAGGCTTCTGCTTGTGAGATCATAGGGATAATGAATATCTATGTGGGTTTGACTGAAAATAGGGGTACCCAAACATAACAATTCTACGAGGGAAAAATGCAATCTGTCAACTTTGGGGTTACCCATGGTTACTTTATTTTTCACGCAGACCCATATAGAACAGAAATATTGTTACTAGCGTTGCTATCTATACATATGTACGTATATATGCATTGTACCCCCCAAGACCAACACTTTGGCTATTTCTTTTAGGTATTTGCAGTGCTTTTGAACAATTTGTGCCTCTGGAACATATTGTGTTTTTTGCCTAGAATTTCCCCACCTGCCAGCCAGGTGAGGGTCCCTAACAAAGGTGCAGCTCCTCCTTCTTCTCCTTCTCTTCCTCCTCTTCCTCCTCTGCGAGCTCGCCATGACTGTGGACATGAACGCCATATCGCAAGCTCCGGATGCAGTGGGCCACACCTGGACCCGAACTCCATGTCGCCAGCGCCAGGTGCAGTAGACCACGCCTGGACCCGAACCCTTGCAGTGGCCCACGCCTGGACCCGAAGATATAGAATGCCAGATAGAATGTCAGAATGGATGGCAGGAAGAATGCTAGATAGACTGCCAGAACAGATGCCAGAAAGAATGCCAGATAGAATGTCAGAATGGATGCCAGGAAGAATGCCAGATAGAATGTCAGAATGGATGCCAGGAAAAATGTCAGATAGAATGTCAGAATAGATGCCAGATAGAATGTCAGAATGGATGCCAGGAAGAATGCCAGATAGAATGTCAGAATAAATGCCAGATAGAGTGTCAGAAAAATGCCACAATGCCAGATACTGTAGAATGTCAGAATGGATGCCAGGAAGAATGCCAGATAGAATGTCAGAGTGGATGGCAGGAAGAATGCCAGATAGAATGTCAGAATAGATGTCAGAAAGAATGCCAGATAGAATGTCAGAATGCATGCCAGGAAGAATGCCAGATAGAATGTCAGAATGGATGCCAGGAAGAATGCCAGATAGAATGTCAGAATGGATGCCAGGAAGAATGCCAGATAGAATGTCTGAATAGATAGATGCCATGAAGAACGCCAGATAGAATGTCACAATGGATGCCAGGAAGAACGCCAGATAGAATTTGAGAATGTATGCCATATATATTTTTGATTCCAGATGATTTGTTGAAGACTATGTGAGAATAGTGTGTCAGGGTGGGATCACTCGAAGTGAGGTAATTTGTCATTACTCGTTTCAAAACAAGGAATTAGCCTGCATACCTTGCAAGTGGCAATTATTTGCAATTGATTACAAGTTCTTACGAAGTTGGTCGGATTCAAGATTTCATGTATGTATATATATATAATATTTACAGTGTCATATTGTATTACTATATTTGTATGTGCATATGACACATAAATACACATGTGAGGAAATCCAAGCGAGTCTAGATATTGAAAGTGGGATTCCTAGTGCCAAGTCAGGTTAACTGAAGGCAAACACGGGTCATGGATAGCTAGCGCAAAAGAAATGATATTGAAGGATAATACCAAAGCCGGAAATAGGTAACAACTGACTGATTCTGAGGCAAGGATGGAAGCAGCAAAATGGATATCTAGCCAACAAAACGGATATATAATTATCATGTATAGTATAACCACCACACCGCCACCGCCACCGCCACCACCACCGCCACCACCACCACCATGATGAGCACTGGCACCAGCACGAGCAGGCGACATTTAATCAACAAATATGGTCATGCACATAAAAACATGTATATTTAAACAATAGTGGGCCCATAGCACAAAGAACATGGCCCCGTGACCAATGATTTGACGGGAGACGGTGAAAATGTCCAGAAAATAATCTCGGAGAGGGCCTGAAATTTCCTCGCATAGGACTTCATGTTGAGGGGCGGAACAAGGACAGCGCTCTCATTTGTGAACTCAAGGCGGGCAACTCGTGGGATGAACCATGGATCGCCCAGGTGATAGAGGGGACGGTGCGACACAAATTGCGACAAAAAATCTGCACCTTTTGTAGGTAAAATACAATCGGCGAAATGGCAATAGAAAAAATGGCTTGTGTGGCAAAGCAGGGTAATGAACTATGATCTATTGGGTTTACCAAACCTTGCCGCAGAAAGTGGGCGAGCATTGCGAGTGCTTTGTGCTGCAGTACGTCGATGCAGGCCGCGACACGAGGTGGTGTTGCCGTTGTGACTGTGTAAGCCGAAAACTAAAAAACTTGAGGGCCGGGGTTTTTACACGATTGCATTAACCAAAATGATGAAGTATAACCAATGAAAATTGGAGGTCAAAACACGTAAAACTCATGGTAAACAAAGAAAAGTGGTGATAAAACCCAGAAATGACGGGAAGTAACTATTGGTCCTGTAGGTATCGACCATCCCATTGATGCGAGGCTGTGTCAATGGACATAGTTACCACGGCAATCTTTTGACATAGTGCTATCATGGGATGGACCATCCTATATATAGGTATGGACTCACATCAATGGGATGGTCACGTGCTTCCCCAGGACTGGTGATTGGCGGACTTCTGGCTGTCTTGCTGCAGAGCAGGTGGACGGAGACGGATTCCAGTCATGAATAGGTTGAAGAATCCTTTCCCTCGATTCGATCACATTAAATACTACTACTAGGGGGGGCTCACAATCAAAATGGAGGTTTAACACGCCCGAAATACCCCCCATACAATATGGGCCCCAACTAAACAGATCCAGTATTAAACCATTGTTTCGTTTGAGAGGCATTTGGTATTAGGAGGAAGGGATTATTTCAGTTGGGGAGCTACGGTTTGTGCAGGATGCTGGAACGCACAGCGCAGGCAAGGACAGGGGAAAATTCCCACATTTTCACCTCGGAAAGCAGAGATGATTTGTGATGAAGAATCCCGTTTGGGGAACTTAAGTTTGTTCCGTATAATCTCGAATATATTGTACAATATAAATCAATATAGTATATTTAATATATATATATATATATACAATATGTTGTCGGCGGTTTTCTTTCTTCCTAAATCCAAACGGATTTTCATGGGATTCAGCAGATTCAGTTGAAGGTTTGTGACCCAAATGCACATGCTGGCACTGTAGATGCGGACTTGGGGCATCTTGGGGTTCCTAAAATGGGGGACCCCAGAGCCATTGGTTTCCCTTTGAAAAACCACCAGCAAATCAATAAATTGGACCATGTCTGGTCCCATCCAGTTCAAGAAACCACCCTCTTGTATAGATACTCATAGTCTGGAGACAATTTTGGGGCAGGTCGCATGGGGTCTAATTAGATAAATAGAAACATGATTCCCAGCTTTCTCATGACACACCACTATGTGTATCATTAAAAAAAAATAATCGAAGGAAGTTTAGAAGTCAAACTTCGGATAATACGGACAAATGAAAAGCAGAGGTGGGAAGAGTCAGAGAAGAGAAGAGAAGAAGAAAGAAGTCAAAAAGAGAGCACGTCTCAGAAGAAAGAAGATCCAGGTGCGCGAAAAGGTAGGAAAGTCGCCAAACACTGTGTTTTTCCAATGATTTGTGGCTCTGGAGGGTCGAAAAGTAGGCTCGCTAAAGCGGCGGGTGCGGAGCCAGCTGGGCAGATGAGAGATGAAAAATTGCACGCCGTTGTGGCGCGAAACACATTTCGAAGTCAAAATGTACAAAACACACCTGGTCCGGACCACTTTTGGAAATTGAGATGTCGAAAAAGTGCACGCCGTTATGGCGCGAAGATGCGCGAAGCACATTTCGAAGTCAAAATGTACAAAGCACACCAGCTCCGGACCACTTTTGGAAGTTGCGATGTCGAAAAGTGCACACCGCTGTGGCGCGAAATACATTTCGAAGTCAAAATGTTAAAACCCCCAGGGGTTCGGACCACTTTTGGACGTTCAGATGTGCTTTCGCGTGGCAGGCGCAAGGGATTGTGGACCTTGTTAGAAGTGAGCAAAACGTGAGGGTTTTGTAGCATTTCCAAAAACGATGGTAGGTGTGAGACATTTGAAGAGGATCTGCAAAGATGCATTTTCCGTGGCAGGCGCAGTACAAGAGATATGTTTATCAGAGATGTTAGGAGGTTTGGGCGCTGATTTCCTGAGAAGGGTTGCATTTTGGAGCATCAGATCTTGAGGTTTGCTGAGATGATTTTGCGTGACAGGTGCAGCACTTCGTATGACCCGGTATCACTTCTTCGTGGCAGGCAGGCGCAGTAGTTTAGACAGGTGGGGTCGAAAAGTCGCAAAACGCATTGGTACGAGGCCGTCAGCTCTGCACGCAACTTTCCATTTTTGAAGGAAGTCTCGCCGAATTGCTTCGTTTTTGATGTTGTCAACCAAAAAAAATGAGGGAGTCTCGCCGAATTGCTTTGTTTTTGATGTTGTCAAGTGCAAAAATTGAGGAAATCTCGCTGAATTGCTGCGTTTTTGATGTTGTCAAGTGCAAAAATTGAGGAAATCTCGCTGAATTGCTGCGTTTTTGATGTTGTCAAGTGCAAAAATTGAGGAAATCTCGCTGAATTGCTGCGTTTTTGATGTTGTCAAGTGCAAAAATTGAGGAAATCTCGCTGAATTGCTGCGTTTTTGATGTTGTCAAGTGCAAAAATTGAGGAAGTCTCGCAGAATAGCTTCGTTTTCAAGCTTGCAGATAGACAGATGGATAGAGGAGAGACAACTGCAACTACAACTACAAGTACCATTACACTACACTACTACTACAACTACAAGTACAAATATACTACGCTACATTACACAACACTGAGTACACTACGCTACACTAATTACATCTAGTCTCACTACACTACACAAATTACACTACAGTTGCTACAACGGCAACAACAACAACAACAACAACAACTACTACTACTACTACTACTACTACTACTACTACTACTTCCACCAACACCATGACCACCACCACCACCACCACTGCCGCCGCTGCCGCCGCCGCCGCTACAACTACAATTACAGCTACACAACATTACACTACAATACGCTAATTAAACTGCTGTACATTACAGCTACAAAGGCAACAACAACTGCAACTACACTAGATTACACAACACTACGCTACACTAATATACACTAATTACAATACATTTCACTACAACTGCAACTACCACTACATTGCACTACACGACGCTACACTACAACTACAACTACAACTACACTACTTTACACTACAATGCACTAGACCACACTATGCTACAGTACACAACACTACAGTACACTACAATACCCTACACTAATGACACCACACCACAACTGCAACTGCAACTGCAACTAGACTACACTAATTACACTACATTACAACTACCACTTAAAACTTCCTCTCCACTCTCCACTACAACTACAACTACAACTACACCTACAACTACAACTACAACTGCACTACACCACACTACATCCAGCAGTCGTGGGTGAGGTGACCGACCAGGTGACCATTGCAACCATTGCAGCCACTCCAAAAAACACAGCTCCAACCACCTTTCGGTCCATCAGTGGATTCGCTCTGCCATCCGTGATTCACAACAACAAATCTCTCCTATGGGTTTCCTATTTTTGAAACTTCCGCCACCGCCTTGTGCGGTACTACTGGTAGAATATGTATTTGTATATATATGTATATGTTATTCAATGTATATATAAACATGTCTATCAGATTGCTACATATAATGAATATATATATATTTATATGTCTTTGAATGCAAACACTTGTTTTATAAATATTTATAGATATGATAGTTCATTCGTAATACGCTTACAACAGGATTCTCTAGATTGTACTCATATATGTACACATAATATTCTACGTTTGAAAGGGACAGTCCTCCAATGGTCTGGAACTCAAGGATTCCATGGCCCTTTGCCAATTTGTTCAGGTTGCCGAGGAGACGTCGAGCCCGGAACAAGGCCAGGGATTCTCGGTCACCCCAAGGTCGAATGAATAAATGTGGACGTATGGGTTACCCCACTTTATGATCAAACAAGCTGTTGACTCCCATACTGTTTTGATGATCATTGAAATATCTACATGACACAGACAAATCATTTTCCATTTTCCAATGCGTAATTGTTCAAGACGTAGTTGCTGATGACACAGTCTTGGTCGTGGAACGAACCCCTTGGCCGATGCCAGGGTCATCTCATTTAGAAGTGATTTGCTCTACTGTACAGTGATAGTTCAAAGCTGAAGACACGATCGATTATATGTATACATGCATACATGCGTCCATGCATGCATGCATGCATGCATCCATGCATCCGTGCATCCATGCATCCATGCATCCATGCATGCACTCGTGCATCCATGCATTCCTGCATAGGTGCAAAGAAGCATAGAAGCATAATTGCATACATTTATAAATGCATACATGCATACATGCACGCATACATGCACACATACATGCACGCATACATGCACACTTACATGCACACATACATGCACACGCTCATACACAGACAAACAGATACACACACACACACCTACATAGACATACACATACATAGACATACACACCCATACGCATACGTACACATGGATACACATCCATACACATACATACACATATACATACACATACAAACACATCCATATACTTACACATACATACACATACACACACATAAATACACATACATACACACATACATACATACACACATACATACATACAAATATACATACATAAATACATACATAAATACATACATACATTTACATATGCATACATACACATACATACACATACATACACATACATAAACATGCATACATGCATACATACATACATACATACATACATACATACATACATACATATACACACATACACATACATACACATACATACATACACATACATACATACATACATACATACATACATACATACATACATACATACATGCATACACATACATACATACATACATACATACATACATGCATACACATACATACATACATACATACATTTACATACACATACATACATACATTTACATACGCATACATACATACATACATACATACATACATACATACATAAATACATACACACATACACACATACACACATACACACATACACACATACACACATACACACATACATACATACATACATACATACATACATACATACATACATACATACATACATACATACATACATACATACATACATACATACATATACGTGCATATACCTACACACATATATATATATATTGAAACCATAAATCATATATGGCCATTCTTTGTGTGAACCAATCCCATTTTGGGCTTCCAAGGTCAACTTGAAGCAGGACCCGATGGGCGAGAGTTTCCAGGTGGATAGTCATGTCTTTTTGATGGGTTAGCCTGTGGAAATCAATGATGGATGACTGGACAACAGGTTCTTTCAGAGGAACTCCTCCATAAATGATCGGTGGTTTTGCCACAGGTTGGTACTATCAGGGGGGTAAGTCACCGCCAAAGTGGCCAATTTTTTTTTGTTCGGAGGTGGATGATTTGGAGTGTAGAGATTGCGGGATTTTATCACAAATTGTTTGTTTTGTTGCTGACAAACCATTAACATTGACATGACATCTCGCTT